TTTTTCATGCATATGGAAAACAAAGATAAATTGTTTCTTCTGCTCTAAAAACCAGACCATCTAGCATTCACAAGCATCATAAAATGCATAAACATACACTCAAGTAGGATTATGCACACTATATTTGGGGGCTTTTGGATTCTCTAATAGGATAATTGTTGAGATTGCAAATACCAAAGAAATCACTACACACATTAAACAAAAGTATGTGGAACACTATCAAATACACAGACTCTGAAATTTTATTCTTTCCATTTATTTCTGGCTACTCTCCAGAGTTTGAATTTCTGCTATGCAGAGAATGTTATTCTGCCCTCTTTTGTTTTTATCAGTCTTTTCATTTGGGAAAGTGGCAGTGGAGTACGCTTGTTTCCATTCCTGATGCTGTATGATGCTCAGGAGAGGCTGGCACAAGAAAGTGAGGAGTGTATTTAGTCTCCTTTCCTTTAAATTTTTTTGGTATAATTGATATGTAAAATTGTGTAAGCTCGAGTTATACAATGTGTTAATTTGATACATTTATATATTAGAATATGATTACCGCCATAGCTTTAGCTGTTATCCCTATCACCTTACATAATTATCATTTCTTTTGTGTGATGAGAACATTTAAGATTTCGTCTGCTGGCAATCTTGAAGTATATAATACAATATTGTTTTCTAAACTTATTATATAACTTTTTTGAATAGAAACAAAAGAAGATTACAGTGTTCTTTCGGGTTTTAGCAGGAATCTGGACAAATGGAGAAGTGGAGCATGGATCACTAACGGGAAGTCAGTAATTGTCTGTGATATAGACAGCAAGAAAGATTGTGGCAGAAAGAATGTCTATGCCAAATGACACCCAGTTCCATCCTTCTTCATTCCTTTTGCTGGGCATCCCAGGGCTAGAAGATGTGCACATCTGGATTGGATTCCCCTTTTTTGCTTTGTATCTTGTTGCACTCCTGGGGAATGCTGTTATCCTGTTTGTGATCCAGATGGAACATAGTCTCCATGAGCCCATGTACTACTTCCTGGCCATGTTGGACTCCATTGACCTGGGTTTGTCCACGGCCACCATCCCCAAAATGCTGGGCATCTTCTGGTTCAGCCTCAAGGATATCTCTTTTGAAAGCTGCCTTTCCCAGATGTTCTCCATTCACTTCTTTACTGCAATGGAGAGCATTGTGTTGGTGGCCATGGCCTTTGACCGCTCCATTGCCATTTGTAAACCCCTTCAGTACACCATGATCCTCACCAGCAAAATCATCAGCATGATTGCTGGCATTGCTGTTCTGC